GACGCTGTGGAGAAAACTTCCTGTTCCGGCCGGGAATCAAACCCTGATTCTCCGGTAGCCTAGTTCTTACTGAGCTACGCTGGCTCTCCGTTTTAGATAGGAGACGGAAGACAGTTTACTGTAAAACTGCTACAGACGCTGACGCCTAAGCATAGGTGGGATGGTGTGGACTGGATTCATCTGGCACAGGATAGGGTCCAGTTGTAGGCTCTTGTGAAAGCGGTAATGAACCTTGTGGCTCCATAAAAGGGAGGGATTTTTTTCACTAGCTTAGCTACTGTTAGTTTTTCAGAAGGACTTTGCTCCATTGAGTTAAGAATTTGAGACGTATAGAAATTGCTCCAAGCCACTGTGATAAAAAAAATAAAGCTATCCCTGTAACAGGCCGTGAAGGCCCACAGAGTATTGAGACGTCGAGGCGACCACATTTTCTAGACAATCTGCTCATAGAGTGCTGTGAGGTTGTCAGCCTTACGCGCCGGCCGCCTTTTACCCCCCAAGAAGATTCCTAGTACTCATTTCTGTTAAAGGCAGAGGCATAGTGCGGCTGGATTAGGTCAATTGAAAAAATCANCTCCTTGCCGTCTTTGTCTCTTCCCGTTATACAACACGTGTTTCGGCCTAACTGTTCATCGTCAGGTGTATAACGTGTCTGGTGTGTGTTTTGCTGATGTGTTGGTATACCCTTTTATGCTGTGTGTAGCTTCACAACCAACAAAATATACACCATACACGTGCATAACGGCGTGTTAATCTAAACATAACCTAAAAATATAATATTTTAGAAGCATTTTACATCGAAATTAAAAGCACAACAGCGTGATAACAGAGCAGCAAACAGAAACAAACAAAACAAACTCACGTAGTTTCAGTAGACAAGAGAACTATACCGACCGAGCGACCGCCGCTTGTCGGCGAAGTTATTGCCTCAGGTCAAATTAAACCAAATAATGTAAAAAATAAAAAATGCTCTTTATTTTAAACCAAATTGTAAACAGATACAACTTCAGATATAAACAATATTATGCAAGAAACATACTAACAGCATTTCAAGTAAAATACAATGTATTATACATATATAGACACATACCTGAAGCCACAAGCGTTTTATGCAAGCCGTGTTGTCTCAAACATCATAAAGTGTTAAGTGTCTATCTCTTGACCTTCAAACCAGTGTTTCTCAACCCATAATATACTGCAGAACAGCAATATATCTAAACTCTCCTGCATACATTAAAATTATACAAGATAGATATGTATTAATTTTTATTATAAATCTTATTTTACAGTCTAATGTGCAACTATTTACTAACTTAAAAGTTAGGGCCACGCCACAGCTCAAGCGGTTAGTCGCTGGCTTCCCACAGCTGCGGCCCGGGTTCAATCCCAGCTCTGGTCAAGTGGGATTTGTGGTGGATAAAGTGACGCTGGGGCAGGTTTCCTCCGAGTACTTCGGTTTCCCATGCCAATCTTTATTCCACCAATTGCTCCACAATCACCCTCACCTATCATCTGGGGCTGGTACAATTGGCTAGAAGTGGCCGCAGTACAAGGGACTTAGTCCCACCCCACTAACAATAAAAGAAAACTTAAAAATTTCAAATTTAAAGGTCACAACATGTTTTAGCCGATATGGCCATCATCAGGTGTTAAAATAACTTCTAATTTCCATTAGAAAAAAACGACTGGTTTATTTTCTTTGGTAGTAAAAGTTTCTTGGATCGGTACAAATTCGTACAGAGTGATGTGAGACAAGAGAAACATGGAATACAAGATGCAGACATGAGGTAGAGACAATGTTAGGCAATGATCCAATTATAAACAAAGGCTCAGCTCACTGAAAAACACTGACATTAAATTTCCACATCTCAGATCTTAACCTATAATGTTATCATACAGTCCATCTGTGAACACATGTATATCTGTAAAATACCACTTAATTCTGAAGTACAAAAACATGCTGGTACCCATAAGGTACACCCTAGAAGGCTACACCTGGCTCAGACAGACACATAAGACATGTTAAACAATGTAATCCCCCAGGAAGATTCCTGGCATTCATTTCTGTTAGGGGCTGAGTCGACGACAGGGCCATAGTGCGGCCAGAAGGATTAGGTCAACTGAAAAATCCAGTGACATAATAGGGAATCGAACCCACGACCATGATACCGCGTGGCCCTGATACATTATTCTACTTCAGCTAAAATCATGACTAATCATTAAATTTTTATTTTTTTAATAATTGTTCACTGGATTATATCACAAATGAAATCAAGTATTTACTCTAGGATCTCCATTTTAATTTATAGACTTATTAAATAATATGTGCAGCCTTACTAATTCATTATTCACCATCATTCTATATCATTCAACATTATACAATGTTTGTTAATGACACCATAAAATAAATTCCAAATAAATAAAGCAGAGAGAATAAATAAACTGTGCATACATTTGGAAGGGCCAAAAGGCCAATACAATGTTATTCTCAACCCATGTCATTATCGTCCCAATTGAGACACACTGTAAATACTGTAGTATGAATATTACACATCTGTCCTGGATATAAGTAACTAATTAATTTTTTAAAATTATAATGTGACTTTATGTTCCACTTTGTGTGTGTACTACATAAATTATATCAGATCTGAAGTATTGTGAAGATTATACATTATGCTATTCATAACATTTAATTCAAGTTACACATTATGGTAATTTTTATTTACATAATTTATTCAACACTGCTTTCATAATTACTTATTTCACAGAAAATTATGTGAGCTAAAAATATCACTTTACAGACATTATTCCTGTGAATGAAATGTTACAAAGACAGCAGACCTATTGTGTTTATGTTATGGTGTACAAATTGTTCACAAATCTTAGGAATGTGTAGGGTTTTTTAATACTGACATGGTGACACTATAACATCCTCTTACATTAAACACGTGCACATTGTCACATTGTCTCTAATGTTATCACTAACCACACAAATGTACTAAAATTCATTTTACAAAGCCTTGACAACAAAACAGCATACTCTATCATATAAGAATGTCTGTAACTTGTGAAAACAGTTGCAAAATCTGCAATAATAGTAACTTTTATAAAGTTACTGAATAATTTAATAGCGCATTCATATTAAACATCCTCCGAGAATCACTGCACCAATGGATTAAAAATCCCAGAACAATAAATAGTATTACATATTAAAGGCAACCCAAGTAACTTTAAAATTTACCACAATATTGCTCACCTGCCCACCTCAGAAGTTCATTTCTAAAAACAATACCCAAAGCCTAGCCTTAGAATTTGTTGTGAACAAGTCGTCAAGGTTAAGCTTTCGGTTTTGTTAAAAAAGAAATGTATTTAGGCTTTGGGTTTTACCTGTATAAATAAACTTCTATAATTGGCAGGACTAACATGGCAGACAACATGGCCGCAACTTCTGAAGCTACTTGCGTCACCTGGTAATAAACAAGTATCCAATATATCTTGTTTGAATTAAACAGGTACCAGTATTTTTTTAAGCCCATCACAGCAGCTGCATGGTCTAATGCATGAAATGTCTTTGCTAGCTCAAACACTGGGATTGTGGGTTCAAATCCCATTCAAGGCATCAATGTCTGTCTGCGTTTACTGTGTGTAGGTAGTGGCCTTGCGACGGGCTCATCCCCCGTCCAAGGAGTCCTACCAACTGTTCCAGAATAAAGAACTGAAGTGAAACAAAGTGTTTCACGGATGCCCTGTGCTCCAAGTGGCAGCAACAGGAAGAGGGGTAGATATAATGTCTTTGTAGCCATTATCTGAAAGGGAATACAGTAAACTCCCCTATTAACCAGCATGCATGAGGAGTGGGTTCTGCCAGTTGCATGAAACAAACTTACATACATCCAATACACAATCAAAACAACATATTTTTTGCTTTAGTTCTTACATAGGAGTCTTTCGAGATGATATAGTGAACTGATGGGTGAGCGAATTTGGATATATATACTATAACACAACAGAAATTTAGTTATCCCCTGCTGTAATGACACCTTCATAAGGTGCTGCCAGTGGAAACTGGGAGAACTACTACATGGCAGGTGAACATATGTCCATGGCAAATTTGTTCCTTTATAACTTTACAGAAATGATAAACTTTCTTTGAAATGGGCTGCGCCATAGATCAAGCGGTTAGTCACTGGCTTCCCACCGCGGCGGCCCGGGTTCGATCCCGCGTCTGGTCAAGTGGGATTTGTGGTGGACAAAGTGGCACTGGGATAGATTTTCTCCGAGTACTTCGGTTTCCCCTGCCAATCTTCATTCCACCAATTGCTCCACAATCACCCTCACCTATCATCTGGGGCTGGTACAATAGGCCAGAAGTAGCCGCAGTACATGGGACTTAGTCCCACCCCACTAGCAATAAAAAAAAGAATTATTTGAAATGTTTACCAATTGGATGAGAATTTAGATTCCTGGATACTGGATAAAGGGGAGTTTACTCATATTATCTGGAGGTAAAATTTACCTTCATATCACACAGCTCATTTTAGGTCAACAGTGATATCCTGTTTAACCTACAAGACTACATCACAATAAAACTATGACTTGTAATTCTATGCTATGAAATGGAAGCCCAAAGAAGTATGGTCCAAATTATTAGGCACAATAATAGCTTAAATTGGAATGTAATGGTATTTGAAGTAAAAAGGGTAGTACCACCTTCTGGAATGTGATATCATGCAGTCTGACAACTTAATGAGTTTAAAAAAAGATCTGTGTCCTTTAGTCTGCAAGCAAACTATACCGACCGAGCGACTGCCACTTGTCGACGAAATTAGTGCCAACTTTAGCAGATAGAGGGTGTCGCGTGGTCAGCGCAACGGATCCCCAAGGCCATTAATTTCGGTTTTATAGACCAGAGCCACTATTTCCTTGAAATAGTTCCTCAATTATCCTCACGAGGCTGAGTGGACCCCGTTCCAGACCCACTACTTCTCAGAAAATCTGGTAGCGCCGGGAATCGAACCCGGACCTCTGGATCTTTAGCCAGGAACTCTGACCACTAGACCACAGAGGCGGTCTAAAACTCTTGTATATTTGAAGTAGCAGTCTAGGTAAACTTCTTTGGTCTTAACCCATTAGATCCAGGTTAACAAATAACAATAAGTAGAAAATCCACAACACATGTTGCAATGTGCACAACACCAATGGTGAAACAGGCAGTGTCACATTTGCTGTACCGTAACATAATTATGTGACTGTCAAGTTAACTTACGTCTACTGAGTCATGGGGTTATGCCATAGCAGCCTCATTTATTTAAGAGTAGCTTGAATGGTTGTCATTCGTTTCTTGTTCTAGTCTGGTCTCTTTTTAATCGTTAATTTGGGGGGAAATGACTCTCTCCAAATCCCCATAATCACTAAATGATTGTATATATGGGACGACCAAGCAACAGTAACACCATCAACACCAATAATGTGCATATCCTTTTCATATAAATATGAAATTGTCTAAAATTTCAGAAACTACAAAATGCGGACTTAATAATCTTTGCTCCTCACCAAATATTGTTAGTTATCAAATCACCAAATCAACTGAGATTTTCAGAGCATACAGCACTAATGGGGATGTTTGTAATACATACAAAATTCTGGTCATAAACAGTGGAGGAAATGCCCACTTGAGAGATCAGGCATAGAGAGAAGAATAATAAAAGAGTCATGAAGGAATAGGGAGTAAAAATGTGGACTGGATTCAACTGGCTCAGAATACAAGTCATTGCTAGGCCTTGCAAACATAGTAATGATTATCAGGTTCCAGCTAGCTGAACAATCATCAGCTTCTCAAGAAGAACTCTCCTCCATAGGGTTTGTTAGGGGCATGGAAATATTACTCTGATGTCATATGTAAATAACGCCCCATAATAAATTATATATAGACCTATTTTTATTGGGCATCTGAACTAAAATATTCTTCCTGCCAAACAGTTCTGAATTTAATTCTGAAAAATTCCTTTTTCCTCTCATTTTGGGCTGTTATTTAGTTGTAACTATTGTATTCTCTGTGGTTTATGCAATGTATTAAAAAGTGAATTAAATTATAAAACTAAGTGGGACGTTGTCTCACATAAGTTGTTAAAATTAATAACAAATTGAGCAGTTCCTACCAAAGTTTCTGATATATTAATCAGATTAAGCTGCTTGTTATATGTACTTGGTCTTTTCACTGAAAATGTAAAAATTATATTTGAATGAACCATGTTTAGTGTTATACAACTGCCTCTATTCATACAGTGGCTAATAATGTATATCCTATACTCGCAAATAAACAAAAGAGAGCATATCAAACTAGAAACGAAAGCCATATTACTAATAAATTCATTTTTATAAACATTAGTTAAACCAAGCACCATGCAACATGTTCATATAACTCATAGTCTACAATGTACCTTTTTATGGCCTGAACTGTGTTAATGATTTCTGTAGATGCTCTTTAATTAAATCTAATAAAATATCTGCCATCTCACTGTTGTAACGTAAAACAAAAGCATGATCGATTCGCTTTTCACATACCATACACTTTATTTGTGGGTTTTTCTGTGCCATATCTTTCCAATACTCCAACGGCACCCAACCATCTGTAGTACCATAATACAGAAATAACAAATCACTCAGATCTCTCAAACTTTCATTATCCAGTTCTTTAACTTTCTCCATTTCATCCATTGCTAGGAAAAAAACGTTTCCTAAAACTGTAGGGTTCATCAGTTTCATTGTTGGCGCCACGTGACATGTTGGAATCCTTCTCAACATAAAATGCACAGAGAGTAAGAATTTCTTGACAAAGACCGGAAAAAAGGTAAAAATCCAAACCAAGTATAAAATAACTGGCACAATATGTTTTACAACACCAGTCATCAATTTCCCGTTCGGTGACTCTGCCATACGTTCTATTGTTGGAAACAACAGATACGCTTTCAAGACCCTTGACCTCACGTCACTGTTTTTAAGAATGTCTAATATCATCTTAGCACCAATTGAATGCCCTACAAGAATTATCTTCACATTCTCTGGTACATATTTCTCAATAAATGCTAATTTATGTTCGACCTGACCTTCTAAATTGTAGAGCTCCGGATTTTGTTTTAAAGGTGGCAGGCTGTGTGGTGATGTTGGCGGTGGCAGTACTTGGCCAGCAAGAGAGACAGCCCACACTGGAACACCAAGGCGATTGTGTAACTCTGTTAGGAATGCATTGTAATAACCAGTCAATCCAGGATTGCCCGGAATAAGTAACACGATTTCCTTATGATCTGCATTTAATTCATCTTCGACCCAGCCTCCCCAGGTGATGACATGAGTTGGTACACCATTGACGCTCACAAAGCCCTCTTTACCGGCCATGGTTCGTAAACAATAAAGAATTAAGCGTTGAAACACATAAATACAAGATCAGCAAGCAACGTCTGACGTCTGGCCGCACACATATACACTACCACCATTGACGTAAAGCACGCGTCACACAGACTGCTACCAATTCCAAGCGTCTGTAGTCGACAGTTCGATTTTAGCACCTGAATGATAGGTTGGGAATATTTTTATGACGTCAAGGTACATGCTGCCATCTATTCAACAACTTTAGGAAACGGTAATGATTGCTGCTAGGAGCTCAGTCGATAAGAGGGATAACTATCAGTTCTACATAAGATATTTCAGCCGTTATACTTGAAGTTAATACACACTAAGCAATCTTCCCGATAACACCTGAGCCTCTGATTATGGCCCTGTAGGGTTGAAACATGTAAAGCATATTTTAGCCAATAAATAATTTTTTTTAATTGCTACACCTTATACTTTATGGTTTTTTCATTAATTAATTTTAATGGATAATTACTGTTTAACTTATAATCTCTCTAACTCCCACACCCCAGTCTCAACACAGCAATGATTATTTATGCAACACTGGTACTGTGCTACATTTCAGAGTAAAAATGAGTGTATGTGTATGTGTGTATTCAGTGTCACCTCAATTTTAGCTATCAGGAGAAATTTTTCAGCAGTTATTTCCGTCTAACTTAATATAAATCATTTTATTAAAATGCGCTGGTCCATTTTAAATTATGTCATAAGCAGTAAATCGTAATATTTTTTTGAGGTTCGGAAAACTTGAATTAAAATCATGAAATGTTTCATTATTTTGATGCCTTCCCTGATGATGGGTGGATGGATGTTAGGTCCAAATATTGGCTACGACTTCTGTTCTGCAGAATTTGGTGCTATGTTTCGTACTTGTCTGCTGCTGGTTCCCCAGTCTGATGTCTCAGATTCAGTGTTCAAGACTAGCTGAACACTGCAGAGACAAACTGCAATATCGGATTTGCAATAGTGCAGAGGTCATAGACAATATGCAGACCAACTATCACTGCATCATCAGGGAACCCATCAAAATAACAGATCACCACCATAACAACTGTGGGGATGGAGACAGGCTAAGAGAAGACTAATTTCGTCCTCTTTCCCTCAATTTATCTCTCAACTGTCTTCACTGAAAAACTGCTGAACTTCATCCGATGAGTATACAGTGAGCACTAAAACCACATGCCAAACAAGATTATCCCTAAACTGGCTCACTAATTGAACCACATGAAGTTCACAATATGATCATGAGATATCACTAACCACCTACTTCTAAATAAAATTTTCAGAAAAGATAGTTCACTTTATTGGACCCTGTGGTCAAAAGTAGCTTAACAAAAGTATATACTGTAACCCATTTACAAAACCACTGTTATCAGAACACATTAGCAAACATCTAAATATGGTTTTCAAGTCACTTCAAAGTATAACCCATGTGTAACATGAAAAAGACACTGGGAAAGTTCAGATATTAAATATTATTCACATAGTGACTTCATGAAATTTGCTGTAAATATCAAAACATGCAATAAATAAAAATAAGTTATGATAATAAAATAATTATGAAATGTGATTGACTAAATTCCTTGGCATACAAATTGATAAAAATGGAACTGAGAAACAAAAGTTGAATATATTATCCATAAACTAAGCTCAACGTTTTTTGTTATGAGGACAGTCACATTCAAGAAAATAATACTGTAAATAAAGTTAATTGCTGTGCTTATTTCCATTCCCTCATGTCATATGGAGCAGTCTTCTACGAAAATTCAGTAGGTATTAGAAAGAATCTCTCTGTGGAGAATTGTTTATGAAAATTAGTATCCTTCACCTTGCGTCCAGAAAATTTTTAATATTATTATAGTCATTCACTGTGGACAATATCAAGAGGTTTCAAATAGATTCAGATATACACAATATGAACAAAAGGAATAAATGTGACCTCCATATGCTAAATCCAAACATGATTAGACGCTAAAAAAGAGTATGCAATACAGGAATTAATTTACTTACTAATACTGTTAAAAGTATAAATGTGATTTAAGAGAATTTAAGCCATTGTCGTCCTCTTCTACTCTCTAGAAGAATTTACGTACTTANTTTGTCCATCACCTGGTATTCTGAAAAGTAGAAACACAGCGTTATGGAAACTGGGTCTGTTTCTGTCCACAGATAAGGGGGAGGCAACAGATGTAGTGAATCTGACATGGCTTGTCCACTAATTGAGGTTAGGTCTTTCTAAGATACCTAATAGAGTAGGTGTCTCCTGGACTGGATTTTATCAAGTAATTCTCCTCTGAAGTCTCTACAGCATTTAGTTTCTCAGTTATTTTGTTAGGTTTCTGTTAATGATCCACCAATTATCCCATTCCTTTCATATATCATTTATGATAACTTCTCATAAAATTCTTGTTTTTTTTTCTCTGAATTTCCTGTTTGCTTTCTTGTATATATTGTCACAAATTTTTGAGAATAATTTTCTTTCTTAAACACAAAAATATTTCATACATTTCTGAATGATACCCTTTCCTTTAGTGTACATTTCATTTATCTATTATTATTTTCCCCTTTTTGGTTTTTGGTTCCACACTTACTGCCTGTCCATAGGATGGCTTACTCCTCCAAGTTTTGGCAACATTTTGTGTTATTAAAACTGGAAATTCCTAAACTTAGGCTGTGATTTCCTTTGTTGTTGTGGTGTACTGTTGTTTGCACATTGTCCTTGTTTGGCCTCTCTGTCCTTCGTCTGGTATGCTTCGTTTGTTTGCTCACCTAGTTTAACCTATTCCTCTATTTGCTGTATCATGTCCCACCAACTCTCCCTCTGTGATGTGCTGTGAAGTGCAGCAGTGATGGGTAATGGTGGTAGAGACAGTGTGTCACTGTGGTAATAATTATATGAATGAGGTAGGTGGAAGATTATGAGGGAAGTAGCCTGTTTATTGCAGCTGATGCTCAAATTTTGACACTTCAGAAGCCACCATGATTTGTAATGCACACATAATCACGTTTATTGTTCTTGTGAATTTATCTATTGCTTGCACCTCTTATAATTTAATTTCCAGTGACTTCTTCTGTTTAGAAAGATAATTCATGTCACCATATTCTATATAGAATAACACTTTATAGCAATAATAAATGGTTTAATGTAATGAAATTTATATTACTGTTATGGAGTTTATATCAAAATTGTTGTTTGACTGAGTGCCTGACCAGAATTTGATTCTAAAAACCTCGTGGTTCCGCAAAGTAAAATTTTTACATTTGACTAGAAAACAAGCAAGTAGTGGGCTAACATCAGTTAAGGCAAAGTGAAAATGTAATTTCATGAAGCTTGTTACATCCACCTATATTAATTTAAGGTCATTTGAATACATGAACCCTCGAATTTAAAGGCAAAGTAAAGGTTTAGGAGGTTGTCAAGACAAGACAAGACAAAACAAGACAAGACATTTTTACTGTGTCTCTGTGTAAAGACCCAAAGCCTACATCAAGTAGCATGGATGTGGTGATCATCCTGATGCAGTGCAGTGGTGACAGCAGAATGCAGTTCTGCATAGTTGCCTCATGACTAAGCGAGACCCTGCCATCTACAGACACGATGGAAGTGATTCACTGTTGCAAGGAAAGGTGATTATCTCATGTTCTGGGATGTGATGCCATCTGCCACCTTGTTGTGTGGGAAATCCCTGGCATAAGGCATTGCTGGAGTACTTTACTTACTTATTTACTTATGGAGCTGAGCCCTTCTTGAGGAGCCGCCAAATCTGCAGCTACTCAAGAATTTCCCAGCATTTCACGGAACCTGAAGGTTCATTACCATGTTCACAAGAGCCCTCCACTGGTCCCTATCCTTAGCCAGACCAAATACCTGTGAAGTTTCTGTGAGAGGTCATTGTTTCAGCATTTTAAAATAACTGCCCCCCATGCACAAAAGGTTTAAATAGAAGTTTCCTTGTTGGAGCCTATAGTTAGGGAGGCTGTACTGGGAAACCAGAAAACTATCAAATAAGGTCAAGAGGGCCAGAGTGTCTCCTGACTGGGAATCCTGTATTGTGGCTCAGAAGAGTTACAAAAGGTCTGTTAGACAATCTGAGACATTTTGAGGTTCTTATGTCAGAATAGCAATTAGATTCTGAATGCAAGGAGACTTACAAATTTATCACTGGAGACTCAGATGCAGTTTAAGAGTTTACAGTGCCCTAGGCCAGTGTTCAGTCCTGTGCCCCAGGGCACTGAAAAATATTTGGGGTTGTGGGTGTGTTAGATACATTAGTATGTATTAGAACCAATGAAGAGATTGGGTAGAACACACATTGTTTCTGTTATGCCTAAAAGCCTTATAGACCCTCAACCCTACCATGCTAGACAAGTTGCTTGCCTGCCTCATGCAGGACCCCATAAGCTGTGGGGCCCTAGGCCATGATCTTTTGCCTTAATTTGTCCTTGCAAAACCCCCCAGAGTCACATACTTTCTTCTGAAGAATATACTTGTACATCCTCAGAAGAGGAGGAATTAAAGCTTATGTTGGAGTCTCATTTTCCTAGTTCTGGAGTGATAACTGAAGATAACATTTTTCTGAAGTTTTCATCTGGGCTTTTAAGTTGACAGACCAGAAGTGCGCACTGGCTTCATGAGCAGTGTCCCATAGCTGGAAACTTCTTACCTAAACTTAAAGGTTAGGTGGGCAGTTTGTAGCTATACAAATTCCTGGGAGAGGACGACATTTTCCCTGCTGTTCTACAAGAGGACCAGGAGGTTATCCATCATTGGCGTAGTGATGAAGATACTTAGAGATCATATTTCCATCGAATATATCCCTTTATCCTGGAAGTTTGCAAGAGTTCTCGCCACACTTAAGTCTGGGTGGCAAAACTAGTCATGTTCACGTGAAATACTTCCATTTTATCAGTCTCACATCCTTGTTTTTGTAAGAGCACTGGAGAATTTGGTGTACAGACATGCAGGAGAGATATCCTCTGCATATCTATGGCGACTGACAACTCTTCACAGGCTCGAAGACTGGCGTTTCTGGACACCAAAAGCGTGCTTCTGAGTCCATATGCAGAACAGTAGAAGATTATGGCGTGGAGTAAGGAATTGCGGCGCTTGCAGATGGCAGGTTGTGATGGCCCAAAAATGGGCTGAATTGCCCAAGGAAGAAGGGCCAAATTCAGGCGCTCCCCCCCCCCGCCCTCCACAATTTATGGAACACTACCAAATTAAAAAAATAGGGGGATATACAAAATAGTAACACATAAATGAATTTGTTGCAACGAAATGTTCTTCTATCCAAAATACTCAAAGATTATCAGTAAAATGGATTTAAATACTGTCACATGCAGGGAGGTACGCGTGACTAAAACAACGGGTTCTAGATCGGATGATTGGATTTACTGGCACTTCTGATATCAGTTCGCTTAATCATAGTCAATTATGGCGCTATCGCTATTCTACGCACTTTCAAGTTCACCGTTACACACGCACTAGGAATCTCCGTCTTCAGTAGTCGTATCCTGGCAACGGCTCTCATCACAGGAACTAGCACTTCAAATCACTACGAAGTCTTCAACCACTCTGTACTCCTCTGTCCTAATCTGTACTTAACTAATCTTCGCAATTTACTAAGGACACGCTCCATTCTTGTCCTTGTGCTCTCACCTGCCCTGTAGCTTCTACTACTCCAAAGTCAGAGTCAAAGT